CGACAGTGGCTTTTTTGTTACACGAGCTCTCTAGCGCTATCGCGTTAAAACCATGGAGCAAGAGGCAAGCAGCTTGAAGATAACGCATACGACACGGAATGCCGACAGAACAGGACGCGGCTTTCCGGTGTAGCTCCTCCATCGCTCATTAGCCCCGGCATCCTCCGGCAAACATAAAATGGCACAAAAATGGGTCTCGGACGTATTCTTCGATTGCCAAAATCTGGCAGATGAGCGTGAACCAAACCACCTTCGCACGGCAGCCTGAGAACGGCGAACGGTGAGCCGCCGTGCCACTACCGTATAAACAATTCATTAACTATCGCGCATTCTTTCTGATTTGATCCCTCGCAAGTATGGCACGTACTCACTCTGCGGGATTGGCCAAGAAAGCGTAGCGTAATATTCTAGAAATATTTTATGATAAAACAAAAGATATTGAGAGAAAATAAAAAAACTGAAATTTTGAGATTTTTGGATGACCAGACAGCTGCGTTTTTCTCACCCAACTATTTAGAATTTGAGTGTTACAGCACCTTTTATTCAAGGCAAGACGTTTTCATTCAAGGGCTCGTTTTCTTTATTAGACACAAGTATTAATGTGTCCTAACAGACAGCCATGCCAAAATAAGCCTAACGGTGTTATAAATATTTGTAATGGTAAATGAAGAATTAAAAGTGGATGACAAGAAAATTTGTCATGGGCACAGAGCGAAAGTGGCTTGGAAGGTAGCCGCCTTGCTAGCTCAGTTGGTAGAGCATCAGACGCGTTATTCCAACGTCGCTTGAAGTTTCTTTTTCTGCTGTGGGCAGGGACCGATGTTATAATAACATCCCCAATACTTTCCTTAGCATGACACCCTCATATGTCTCATTTGTATTGTACGTAACAAAGACAACGAACCCTTCTATATAACCTTTTTTTTCCTTCACTCACTGTGAGCATCTTACTCTGGCACAGTTGATGCCTTCAGGTAGTAGACCAGGCTTTATCGGTCAGCTGCCAGCTCGCAGTAAGTTCACTTGCTTTGTGACACCAAACAGATGGATTAGAAGAGTGTTGCACACTTACCGTCATAGCTTCTAATGGCGCTGACTAACGCTCTCAGGCTTAGGGCTCATATAAGTAAACCCTATAAATTCAACCAGGGGATAGCCACCTTGCTAGCTCAGATAGTGGAGCATGGAGCTCGCTATTCGAAGGTCGCAGATTCGGTCGCTCCCCACGGCAAGTTATCTTGTCGTCCGCGCTTCTTTGTTCACATTTACATTACAATTACTCATGATGACATCCCCCATACTTTCCTTAGCATGATGGTCTGTTAGATCTTATTAACACTTATTATCATTACACAACAGTACCTACTGCAGTGGATATTTATAATAGGACACGTTTGCTACTCATCGTGAACAGTGCACAAGAACGAACAAATACACAGGCAAGTGCACGGCACAAGAGCTGTTTTTGTTCTTTTTTGTGCGCTGATTGCGATGAGTATGTTGCAATCAGCCCAATTTGCTACTTTACACGTTTGATAGTCTGAATAAAATCACCAACCATATTGAATTCGTCCCTGTGGCAATGTCTCAAAGTTGTGGCGCCATACAGTTTAGCAGTTTCTACCGTCAGCCTAACACCTATATTCAAGAAAAGAGAAAAGAATACCTAGAAGCATTTTTCGAAGTAAAAATATTGGGCGACTTGATAAAAAATTATGTTCAATGTTTTCCTTTTATTTCTTCGCAGAATGCTCTGAGTGGTGATATTGCATTTATTTATTTATTATTTATTTATTTATATACCTTAAGGGCCTCTAGGGCATCACATAAGGGGAGTTTCATACAGTAATCAGTGACAGCAGCAATTTTTTAACAAGAAAAGAAGACAAGAACGCATGCGCAGGATACAGAGTCTGTCAACTAAGATAAGCAAGAAATAACAAAGCAAGGTTTTCACAAGCGAGCACATTGTAAAAGCTGCATGACACGTTGTACAGCAATGCCTAGGATTGTCCAACACCTTCAAGAAACGCACATAATGCAGACTGGGAAGGGGATTGCTATGTATGCGTTTCATTGCTGGCAGGCAGAGCGTTCCACTCGGTTGTCGCTAAGACAAGGGGTCAGTATTGGTGTTTTTTGTGCGAGAAAATATAGGTTCAATTTTATGATCATGGTCGACTCGTGCGGAAATGTACTAATCAGGGTGAATGAACGTATGGCGGAACGGCGAATCACTGTGGTATAATTTGTGGATGAAAGATAAGCGGAAATATTTTCTGCGCATGTCAAGAGGGAGAGATATAGATTTGTCTTAACGAATGACACACTTTCATAGCGAGAATAACATGACAAAATAAATCGCATGGCTTTGTTTTGGACAGTTTCGAGCATATCAGTGAGGGTTGCTGTGTGGGAGTGCCACGCTATGGAAGCATATTCTTGGGTTGGCCGGATAGCAATATTGTATGCGTAAAGTTTGGTGTCTTTGTTTGAAAGTTTCAGGCGGCGCTTAAGAAGACCAAGTTTCCGTAGTGCTTTCGCGGTAGTGTATTCTACGTGGCTAGTCCAAGTTATATCAATGTGGAATAAAATACCTAGATGAAATAGATGGAACTGTTTGAATTACCAAGTTGTTTATGACATACTCATTGGTCGAAGGATTTGCAACGGATGAGAAGCGTACAAGTTTGGTTTTGTTTACATTGATTTTCATTAGCCATAAACGGCACCATTCTGATAATTTTGTCAAGTCGGGCTGCAAGATGTTTACGTCATTTGGTTCAGTGATTTTCTTATAAATTACGCAATCGTCTGCAAAGAGGCGCAGTGAAGAGTTAATATTGGATCCGACATCATTAGTATAAACTAAAAACAACAGAGGGCCTAGTACGGATCCCTGGGGTACCCCGGATTTGACGGGTCTGGGAGTAGAGATAACGTTGTTAAGTTTAACTGACTGAACCCTGTTAGTAAGGAAACCACTTATCCACTGGGTTGTTTTATCTTCTAGCTGTAGATTACAAATGTTAGTCATCAACCTTTTGTGTTGCACGCGGTCAAACGCTTTAGCGAAATCTATAAAAATTGCGTCTGCGTAGCGGGAGTTATTCAGAGAATCATTAAGGTCAGTTACCAATTCGAACAGCTGAGTTTCGCACGAGCGGTTATTGCAGAAGCCATGTTGGTTATCTATTAGCGAGTTATTTTTATTGAGGTGAGATACGATGTGCGTATACAGGATATGCTCGAGTTTTTTGCACGGAATAGAAGTAAGAGAGATTGGTCGGTTTATATTAGCACATGATTTTACCCCAGATTTGAATATAGGTACCACTAATGCTAACTTGCAATCATCTGGGACGCAACATGTGTTCAGTGCACGAGTGTTGAAGATTGGGCGAGTTGGTTCGTCGTACTTGAACTGGTATAGCGCATTACGGGGAAGAAGAAACGGCCGAGCAGACCGACACAAGAGGACAGAGCGCTAACTTCCAACTGAGCTTTATTGTCAAACTGATTTGATTGATTGATTTGTGGGGTTTAACGTCCCAAAACCACCATATGATTATGAGAGACGCCGTAGTGGAGGGCTCCGGAAATTTCGACCACCTGGGGTTCTTTAACGTGCACCCAAATCTGAGTACACGGGCCTACAACATTTCCGCCTCCATCGGAAATGCAGCCGCCGCAGCCGGGATTTGAACCCGCGACCTGCGGGTCAGCAGCCGAGTACCTTAGCCACTAGACCACCGCGGCGGGGCTTTATTGTCAAACTGCATCCAATATGTACACCGGCGCAAGCATACAAAACCACCCTAATGCAACGACAAGATTACACACAACATCGCACCGTCACATATCACAGATTCATAAGCGGTTATCCTGATTAAGGAAGGCCACTTCATGTTCAGATAAAACCAAAGAAGGGGCGCTAATACACGTGATGCCAGCTCTTGCTATACAATGCGCTTCTATAATTTCCCGAGTTAATTGTGACGGGTGCTTTTTTAACACTTCACATTGATCAAACATTGGGGAACATCCACAATCGCGGCAGTGAATTCCAATGTGGCCCTGGATTGCTTTGTGAACATTATAATGGTGCTCTTTTAGCCTTTCATTAAGGAGCGCCCCCTTTGGCCGATATACCACTTACCACATGAGAGTGGAATCGCGTAAAGAACCCCCGCTACACAAGGCACAAACCGAGCTTTGTGCTTGGTTGAGCAACCAGTGGTACGTGATTTGAGAGGACTGACTGCTTTGCAAAGCCGCTGTAACTTATCCGGCGCTGAAAACGCCACTTTGACGTTGCATTTCTCCCCTATCTTTTTTAGCCGGTGGGAAATGTCGTGCACGTAGGGTAAAACTACGGGTCTTTTTAGTTCGTTAGATTCCGTCTGAGCCTCGGAGTTGCAGCCTTTCTTTATCTGTTTTAATAGCTTTTCAGCTATAGATGCCAGTTAGATAGCTGGGTACCCAGCACTCAAAAGCCTTTCAGCTTCAGCTGCAAAGCTGCGCTGCATGACATGATGACATGATTTCCTAAGAGGATTGATGAGACCAAGATTCGTGATGCTTCGCTTAACTAACTTGTAATGGGAATAGTCATAGGGTAAAAGAGGTTTTCCAGTTCTAGGTTCAAATAGCCAGCACACATGGTCAGGTGAAAGAATTAAATTCAAATCTAAAAAGCGTAAGCTGTTGTCAACTGGCATCTCATGAGTCAATAAAAGCGGTTTAAAACGTGGTCCAGCACGTGCTTAGCATCCTGGAACGCCAGTGGCCGAAAGCGGCGCCCCCACGGGTTTGACGCGAGTAGGTTGCTGCTCTGGGACGTCCGAGCACGCTAGTGTCTCGCTTTAATCCCCCTACCCCTTCCCCCTTTATGCCGGATCGTCAATAAAGTTGTTTCACTCACTCACTCGCTTAAAAGTCATTACAATACCCTCGGTTAGGTGCTGGCAGGCAGCGTCGCTGCAGTCGATGAAAATTAAAAAGTCGTCTATGTAACGACATATTTTGGTGACAATATTTTGGTCAAGCATGCTCATCAGCAAACGGTCATGATATGCAAGGTATATGTCACTAAGGATCGGGGCGAGGCATGACCCGCTGCAGACAGCACTATTCTGTATGTATTTACGATCATTAAAAGATACAAAAGTCGACTTGATATAAAAAGACAAAAGCTCTAAGAGGTTACTGTTATGGACACCCGTGAGATTCTGGAAGGCTACAGCACCAAATGAGTCAATGGCATTGTCAACACACTGTAACAACTTCTCGTGCGGCAAACAGTAATACATATCCTTTATATCGACAGAAAGTGCTTTTAAGCCCCTTTCGTTATGTTCCAGAAAGTTAACCAAAATGTCCGAATTCCTAATTAAAAAGTGGTCATCGATGGTGAGCAAATTGAGCTTTTCTTGCAGAAATAAAGCCACAGTTTTTTGCCATGTTCCTCTCTCTGCCACAATTACCCGCAGAGGGCAATCGACTTTGTGTGTTTTGGCCGTAAAGAACATATCAAGGCTAAGCTTCTTGCATTTATCCACTGCTTTGGCAAGTTTTTCGAAACCCAAGGTGGCACACACCTTTTTAGATGCGGAAGCATCTTATACTCGCGCCTTGTAGTGCGCCGTCCGCGCCGTCCGCACCGCTTCTCGAACATTCGACAGCTGACGCGCGCGCATGCGCCGTCGCGCTGTCGCCCACCATCTGTGCCGCACGCGCTTCTCCTTCGAGAACATTCGACAGCTTACAGCGCATGCGCCGTCGCGCCGTCGCCATCTGTGCCGCGCGCGCGCTTCTCCTTCGAGAACATTCGACAGCTGACAGCGCATGCGCCGTCGCGCTGTATATATACTCAAGGTCGGCGCTCGCTCGCTCAGTTGCCGCTCGTCCGTTGGTTTGTACGGCGCGTCGACGTCCGAAGTCGCCGTGAAATGAATGCCAACGAATCCACAAACAGAATGATCGACGTCCCTTCGACCAGCGCCGGCCAAACTGTTGGCGGAACCGCTTCCGCATCCTCCTCAGTGTTCCCCCGAGGGAAGCTGCGGGCAATTTTTTTGCTTGGGATTTATTTTTGCTAAGGGAAGTGCCATCCTCAGCTCTAAAGACAGCAGGAACAGCTGTGGTCGCTTTCTCAATAAATAAAGAGTACGGTAAAACAACAAAACCTCCCTCTTTGTCAGAAGGTAACAGAGCTAGTGAATTGTCTTTTAAGTGTCCCACGACTTTCTTAAATGGCAGTTTTTTGGTCGAAGGCATGAAACGCGAAACCACATCAACGCCATCGGCAACACACCTGTCCCTTTCACCCTCAGGAATCTGTCGAGCCACTTGCCTGACGTAGGTGAGCAGATCGTACGGCGAATTGGCTGGTTCCGTGGCGAACTTTGGTCCGCGGCACAATACGCGTCGAACCGCTTCAGGGAGCACAACACCACCCAGAGTGTGTACAGGGTTGCTTGTTGCAGTCACCTTCATGGGGGTCATGGCACGAAGGTGGAAGAGCATATGCTGCCACAGGTACTCCGCTTTTCGGTCAATTGAAGCAGACAGTTCTCGCCACTTCATTTTCGCCTTGATGATGCCTTCGGCAGTCTGGAGTTTGAGGCGCTCTGTCCTCTTGTGTCGGTCTGCTTGGCCGTTTCTTCTTCCCCGTAATGCACTATACCAGTTCAAGTAATGTGCTCAGTGACTGGTGAAATATTAGTTTCAATAGGTACGATGATTTTTGAGCGGTTAATTTCAGAAGTTTGGAGCTAATGTCATCGGGCCCTGGACTCGTCTTGTACTCATGTCGCTCAATGGTACGTGCTACACCATTTTCGGTTATTTTTATTGGGAGCAAAATATCATGAATGATGGTCTCTGGTAGGTAGAGGGAATTTATTGAAAGCTCATTTGAAAATACCGATGCAAACTGATCGCTGAATATTTCCGCAGTTTCTTCAGCTGATGGAAAATCGCCATGCTCACCGTCTAGCAAGGTCGGAGAACCAGTGTTTTTAAGGTTTACCACTTCCCAGAATTTTTCTGGGTCAGTTTTGAGGAGTTTAGGCAGTATGCAATTGAAAAATTTATGTTTGGCTTCTTTAATGATTGTTTCGGTTTTTCTTGATACATTCCTATAGTTATCCCAGTCTACTGTCTAGTTTGTCTACGACGCCTTTCTAAGTGAACGCTTCTTTTTATTAAGACTTCTTTTCACATCCTGTGTGAACCACGGATCGTTTTTGGTTGATCTAATAGCCATTTTTGGTACGCAACTATCTTCGATTCATTTTATTGTGTCACGAAATTTAATCCAGTTTTTATTTGCAGTGCAATTTGCAAAGCTGACTTCGAACTGGGGTGTAAACTCTTCCAACATATGATTCATTTTCTCGATATTGGTGCGTGCATAATTGAGTATGTGCTTGTCCGTTATGGTTTTAGGGGGCAGTGGGATAGATAAGGAGCAATTTACGGCGCGGTGATCACCGATTTCCTCCAGGACATGAGTAACTGCATCATCGGGTTGGTTAGTGACTATAAGGTCCAATATGTTGTTTCCGTGTGTTCGTTCCGTCACGAGCTGGGACATGTTGTGCAAATTTGCTAGGTTTATGAAGTTAAGACTTTCTTGACGACGGCTAGCACAGCTAACAGTGGAAGAGGACCAGTTTATGTCGGGGTAATTGAAGTCCCCTCCAAGAATCGCAACAGCGTTTGGGTGCTTGTTTAGGACATGATCAATGAAATCATTCACGTGTTCAATGAACTCTGGGCCATTATCGGGAGGTCTTTAGCACATGCCTATGACGCACGGTACATGCCCCAAGGCTGCCGCAACCCATGTAATTTGAAGGGGCGAGTCGTAGACTATGACGGAAAAATGAAATTTTTTCCTAATGGCAATAATCACCCCTCCACCAAGACGAGCGGCTCTGTCTTGTTGAAATATCGTGTACTGCGTAGGGAAGCCAAGTTCACTGTTTTCTGTGTCAGAAATTAGCTACGTCTCCGTGCCAAGAATAACATCAGCAATGCACGTGTGTATAAGGGCTTTAAGTTCGTCAAGTTTGCTATATATTCTGCAAAATTGTGCAAGGATTATTGATAGCTTTTTATTCGCAGTTGATTTCTTAGCGGATGATGTCTGGCGGATACGTTGTGTCAAGCCGTTACAGGTCCATAATTTGTGGCGACGCCTGCGCTGTTCTGTTCCCGCGTAGTATTTTTGTGAAATTTTAGTATCTGGTGGGTACTTTGACGATACTATCCGTGCTAGATGCATACCTATAGGAGTTTTTACGGTAGTAAACGGGGTTGAAGTGGAGTGAATAGCTTTCGTTATCATTACGAATAGCTTTGACGAAGTCACGAAGCTTTTGCGCGCCAATTGTACTTTAGGGGAGAAATCTGCGTCGAGCCAGATTTTCGGGTTTTCCACATTTTAAGTTTAGGGGCATTGCGTAAAACATCCATTTTTATATAAAGTTGAGAAACTTTGCGATTATGGGCCGGTCGACGTTCGCACGCGGCTGACCCAATCGTTGAGTGCGTTCGATGTCCCCGGTTTGTACGCCTAGGTGAGTTGCACAGAATTCTTTCAAAATTGTTTCTGACTTTTCGTACACCTCCTTTTCTGTTTCGGCTAAGCCCTTGACAATCAAGTTGTTCCTTCGCATACTGTTATTGATATTATCAACTAGGTCAAATAATTCATCGTTTACTTTTGCGACGCTTGTCTTCACGTCGCGTACAGGGTCACCTACATTCTCACACTTTGTTTGAATTTGTGACATTTTGCTCAGGTTATTTTCTATTGCACAGATTCTTGAATTATTACTATTGATGGACTGTTTCATTGTGGTCAGAGTAGCCGTGGTTTTATCGTGAAAGTGTTTCATTAAGGCGAAAACATCATTGGTCTTAGGACCAGGGTTAGATCCCACGTCACCACAGTAGAGCAGGATAAGTAAAATAACCGAACCTAGAAGCAGGAATATTGGTCAAGGCACAGGGATCTAACAAAAGTGGACGCAAAGCTAAAGCGAGCATTGCGGGACTTCCTGGATTGCCGGCAAGGAACAAAGGAGCCAATCCTCACGCGATAGGTCAACACGTCAACACCCATCACACTTCTCGCAAATAAGATACAACAGAGTGGGATCAGTGGCCATACACTCGAGAGAACGAATAAAGCAGCAACGTGTGCTAAACTACATGCCTACCTAAAACAGCGAAAGCAGAACTTAGCCGTGGGAGCCGTTGTCCGTAAATCCTAGAGAGTTGATGGCCGGTACTCTTTTTGTAACCTGCGGTGGCGCTGCTCTTATTGTGACGTCAGTGGATGGAATCACGGGAACATTGATGATGCAGGAATGGAATGAAGCGGCCCCGATTCTCGGTGACGAGAGTGGCCGGACAGCAATCAGCGGCATGAGGCGATGGTATCTAAAACAGCGAGAGCAGAACTTCGCCGTGGGGGCCGTTGGCCGCGAAAGACTGGCTAAGTGTAGACAGATCTAGAGGGAGACACAGCATTGAAATCTATAAATTATAATATCGAGCATTCTAGACAGACGCCACAGAGGTAGCTTGGAAACTTGAGGTGTTTATATTCTATCCATGTAGTTATTGCTTCGGTCGTATATGTGCAAATTGCTCATTTTTATAGCCGATCATGGTTATATATTCTACTTCTGAAACTAGGGATATTATTAAGCCATTAGGTGCAGGTTGTGCGAAAGAATCAGACAGCTGATTCAATCTCAATCCACAGTGACCTGGAACCCACAATAACTTTAGGTGTTTTAACTGCCTTGGCACTGATCCTCAGAAGGTCTTTAGAGCTCAAGAGTTTACAGAAGCTGTAAGAGCTGCACCAACTGAAAGAGAATCTGTCATTATGACTGCACTTTTTTCTAGTGACGGTAGTTTCCTATGTACTAAAATACCTGCTACGAGCTCAGCTTCAAAAACTGGAGTAAAATCAGGCAGTGTAATTATGGACCAGCCAAGAAAATCAGAGGCAATCCCTACACCTGTCTTTTCTTGTTATTAACAGAAGCATCTTCGGCTATTAAAATATATGTTGCTTTATGCAACAGATCATCTTTTAATCTGCTTTCTTAAAAGTTTGACAAACGGGAACTTAGTTTTTGGGAGCAAATTTTTTCATAATCAATCGTACTTTTTTAAGCCAAGCGGTTAATTTCAATAACATTTCTAATGTCCATATTTATATTTTCTGATCTTTTTTAACAAAAATTATCATGGGAGTGTGAAATTTTTGCTAAGGAGCAAGATAGGAGGTGTCTGGGTTTGAGATAAAGGCTTAATGAGATCTTCTTGCCTGTAATCGATAAATTTTAAAAAGTCACAGCTTTGCCGCAAAAGCGAAGCATTGACTGTGATAGCAACAAATTGGAAGGTCACGCGCAGAATGGCAAGCAGATCGAAACGTGCCCCGCATTGGCACACGAAATGTACTCACCTGTACAGAAAAATGCGAAAGCGTCTCAGTTGC